TAATTAAGTAACAATTAGAGAAATACATTTTTTAATATGTAAAATTTGTGCAAACGTTCATGTGTAAACGAAACATTCGATTCTGTGAAAACAGTAACATAATTACTTTTAATTAACTTGAAACATACGAGATGAATGAACGAAACGCTTCGAGCGAGGAATCGATTGCAAAGCCGCCGGAATATCCCCTTGCGACTGACAATCGGACTCCCGTCGCGCTATTAATTCGAGTTAGGTGAATTAGAAATGCTAATTCCCGTTCGGAGGTAAGATGATTAGTTTTTGCACTCTCTGCGGGACCCGCGTCTCTCTCCTCAGAACTGCTCCTCGCACTCGTTTCAAATTAGTCGTCCGCTGCGCATGAAAGTCCGCGGACGAAAGCGAATATCCGATAGGAGAAAGAGAGAGAGAGAAAGAGAAAGGAGGCGTAGGAGAGAGCGGGTCCCGAATGAGAGGAGAATCGCAAGGAGGAGAGACAAGGAGGAAGAAACATCTCTGAGAGATGCGCGGTCTCTGCGAACATCACAAAGCAACTCCGAGACCACCCTTTTGTTCCTTTATTTCACTTCGTTTTTAATTCCTCCCAATTCCGCTACCGCCGAGAGAGTCTCGCGCACGAAAAACGCGGAGAGACACGTCGCAGGATACGCGCTCTCCTGTGACTCCTCCTTCGCTGCCTGCGTTAATTTACCTCGAAAAGGAAAATCGCGTCATTTTTTTCGCGCGCGACATTCGACAAAAACAGACGACGATTTGCATAATGCAATCGTATTGAGAAAAACCAACGGGGGCATCAAAATTAATTACCGAATACATAAATCTAAAAACTTTTTTTCTAGATCGACCGATCTAGCCGCCTTTCCCGGAGAAGAATATGATAGAAAGTAGCCATAATGAGAAGTATAAATCTTTATTAATCGGAGCGGATTTTAGAAGAACGCGGCCGATCTCTCAAATGTCTATATGAGGAGAAGCCGTCTCGATTAATCTAACGAAATGATATCCTTTTACGTCGGAAGCTATTATTGGTCGCTCGCACAATTCTGTGCATAAACTTTCTCCGCGGGCTGTTAAATCGCGCTCGGTTTTTCGGTACAAGTTACGCGATAGAACATTTATTTCTGATAGAAACAAAACCATCACTGAACAGTGCTTTTAACCCTCGAAATAAGCACTTGGCCACAGGTGTAGTGTATATACAATTTCTATAAGGGCGGAACCGACCGGCAACGAAAACGAGAAATCGCGCGCGCGTCCCGTAGACGTAGTGCTAATGTCATTATAATAGCCCGTCAGTCCGTGGCAGTCATTTGTCTCAAAATTACCAAAAATAAAAAGATGTTCGTATCCACGAACGCGCGCGGCATTCTATCAGCTCGAAATTCCACGCTTTTCGCGTAATGTCCCGAATCCACGAGAAATTACGGGACACGCGAGACGGAGAGAGAGAGAAAGAGAGAGAGAAAAAAAAGAATCACGCGATAAGACGGCGATACGTTGTTGCGGGCATTAACACTCGGCAACCACGTGGCGAGCGTGATAGTTTTCGAAACGCGCAACGTGCGAGGGATCGTGATGCAGCCATTAATGAGATTTTAATGTGTCCGCATTTTTCTAACTCACTTTTGTCGGTGTGTTATTTTTGAAATATATACTGGCATTTTTTTTTATTTTTTTTTATAATCGTAATAATCGAAAACGTCGATAGCAGGTTCGCGTGTCGTCGAAGCGAGAGAGAGAGAAAAGAACAGCCGGAGACGCGAAACGAGTTCGCATTCCTCGCGACAAACAAGACGAACCCGCGCGGAAATTTACATTTTGTATACGGGGTATAACCTGCCGCCTGTTCGCGACAGCTGTTATCGATGCGCGCTGATCGACGCTAAATCCGGCGACAACCATACGTTCCGCCGATCGAAACGCATCGGGTCCCCGCTTATTGGGCCACCAAAAAGTTCATCGGTGAACATATCTCTCCTGCCCGCTGTTCCTTCCCGTGTTTCTCTCTTTCTCTCTTTCTACGTATGTCTCTTTGTTTCTCTCTGGCCGTTTGCCGTTCGTGGAACGACGTTTCCAATTCGCGTCGCGGTGATTTTTTGTAATTAATCTTCAGACCTCGCAAGGGAGGAACGCGAAGTCGAAGAAGGAAAAGGAGAAGAGACCAGGGAGATCCAGTGAGACACGATGCCTGGAATAAACGAACGGGTAAATAAAAGTAAAGAAGTGGAAAAGAGAGAGAGAAAGAACGAGAAAGAGAGAGAAAAGGATTGGCACGACAGAGAGCGAGAGGACAAACGAAGAAGAGGGAAGAGGGAAAGATCGTGAGCGCGCGAGGGTGAGAGGGCAGGACGAAGAGACGGGAGCACGGAGACCAGTCTGCCGCGGTGTATCCGCTTTTTGCGGGCGTCAGATGACAGTCGCTTATTTACCGGGGCCCGCGGCCATCTTGCTGCGATCCGAGTTAAGGAGGAGGCCCTACGCGCGTAAAGAAAAAAAAAAGAGGAGAAAAAAAAAGAAGAGACGTATGGAGGTTTAAAGCGAGGCGATGAATACGAACTCGGTTAGAATTAATCGATCGCTCATCAATGTCCGCGAGCATCCCGAACAAGGAGTAATGATAAAGATGGCGGCCGGTGGGAGGATGAAAAACGAAGGGAAGCCCTTCACGCACGCACCAAAAAAAAAAGATAATGTTATTTTGACGAACTACTTCGAACGAAACGTCATATAAAATACAAAAAATCAAATCAACTAGAATTAGAGAAAAAAAAACCCCGTAGATTCGCGTCGAATCTTCTCAGTATAGTTTCGTCCGATAGAATAGTCGGTTACGTGATACACGAGGAGCACGGATTTCCGGGCGCGTCCAGGTCGCCCCCGTGTACGATCCGCTTAATGAGATATACTCGCCGCTACTCGCGCTCATTAACCGCCCGCGCGAGGAGGGCCCCCAAGGTTATTCAATTAACGAGCCGCAAACGCGAATAAATTAATTATGCCGGCGCGTCCCGAGATAGATTAGAGCGCGCGATGTGTCTATGAAGGGGAGGTATTGCGTAGCGCGCGTATACACGAGACGGGAGGAGGAAAAGGCGATAATACCCGGTGAGAGCCTCCCCCCTTTGGCTTAATTACAACGTCTCTCGCTAACATGTTTCTACTTCTCGCACAGTCAGTAATACCGTTTACCACTTCAAAAGGCTCGCGTACATTTAAAGGAGCTTCATTATTATGTTCTCGTACTCGTTTTCTTTTTTTTTTCCATCGCATTTGTTCCGCGGACTCCGCCTCGCTTTATTCCCCCCCTCCCCTCCCTCCCTCCTTCTCGGACCGAGATATAAATTTCTCGAAGGCACGCGAGAGAACACAGGGAAGCATGCGGTTTTCTATCGCCATATACGGCTCGTATTTACGTGCAATTAAAACGCAACTCTGTGTGCGCGCGCGCGCGATAGACTAACAGTGTGTAAATATATAAGCGTTTTAAATTAACTTCTTAATTAACTTCTTCGACAACACGTGCTATGAAAACAACGAAATAAACAACTTTTCTGTCGTGACGTGTAAATTTTCTTTGCACGCGATTTATAAAGAGATAACAAAAATTATAAAATTACATTCGAATACTGAAATATTTAAACGAAATTTTTGTTCTGCCAAAAAGCGTCAACAAAACTGTGTTAATTAGATGCGAGCGAACGAAGAGAGAAGAAAATGGGACACCCCAAGCGACGTGTTCGGGATACATCCTGTCATTTGTCATCTCGTGCTTGCGCTTGACTTGTCAGATTCTCTCCCCATTGTCTACGCCACGGAGATAGTTTTGTCCCCGAGGAGAAGCGTATCATGAAATCGCGACGCAGAGAGTAGCGGAAAGATCGTATCGCCGACTGACTTTCACGAACCTCGCGCGGAATTCGAAATTGCGACAAAATTGCAAATTTCAGAAGAAACGTTTTTTTTTTTTTTAGACTGAGAGAAGAGCAATTCTGTAGAATGTTTTTTTTTTTTTTACACACAGCTGTTCTTTTGATCGTACGCTCGAAACAATAAAACGATGCTAGCGAACGCGTTTTGTCAACGCGTTTGTTAATAATAACGGCAATGTTTAACAAGCGCTTCCGTAAACGAAACCGCGAGCCGTTTCCGCTCTCTGTCAAGATTAACGTTCGCATGCGGGTCTCGGTCGCGATACGAATTAGGGAAAAAAACTTGATGACCCTGACATTTGTAAGGATTAGAAAGAAAATAAGTAAAAACGACAAGCTTAACCCTCGACGTCGGTCGTATGGGTGAAAATCTGGCGCAACCCTAATAATCCGGGTGCGATTTCTCAAAAGGCGATCTCTCGCGCGCGTTCTTTTTGCGCTCAAAATTCGCCTCGAACTGCAAAACCCGTCGCGTCCTTCCGCGCGCGCGCGCGCGCTGTCAAAATTCTTCGAGGCGCGCGCAAAAGTTACGCGGAGTAAATTAAATTCGCACTCGTGAAATCTCACGAGAGGAATCTCGTTCGTGCTTTTTTTTTTTTTTTTTAATTCGCGAGTAATATCAAAATCACCGAAATCCGACTGGAAGCTGCGTAAATCCTGTTACCTTTCGACCGGTTTACAACGAAGTTTAATTACGCGGTGCCAAGTTTGATATAGTTAGGCCCATTGAACTGCCGGCAAGATTGTTTTACGAAGTAAATGAGGCAATGATGACTCGAGGCTTCGGGACCACCTAGCAGCCCTGACGAAGTCCTTCCAGGCTTGCCTTTAAACTCCTTGCAAACTAATTAACGCGCGACCAACACACGTACCCAACACAGATACGGTATATATATACGTACCTCGTGTCTTCTCTTCTCTTCTTGCACGCTCGCGCGCGCGCCATCGTAGACTTCTGGAAAAATATTCCGCCGCTCTCTTGCAATGTAATAACTGAGTGGAATAAAATTAGACGTTGCGTTTCTTGTTCGTTTTTTTGATTTTATGTAAATTCACATTTTTGTGGTTTATATACACAGATGTTCGCCAGACGAAAAAAAATGGATCAACATATAACTGAGAGCTCCTTTCTGCGTAGAGAATTTTTTTTTTTTTATTGTAAATGTTAAAAGAGAAATCACAGACAATAGGAAATAAGAATGTTTCATTCATTCGTGTTTTCTTAACGAGCTTAATTCAGAAAATCAATATTGTGCATACGTGACATGTAAATTTGTTTAAATACGTACAATCATCGTTTTTTTTTTTTTTTTTGCGCTCAATTTTTCGCACACACAATCTGTCTTCTCTCAAGGCAAGAATATCGCTATTTAGCTCTAAATGTATGTATACGTTAACGACAGACTTCCTTAAAATAAGATCAAAAAAGAACAAGAATAATAAACACGAGTTTTCTCGGAGAAAAATAACAAAAATAAATATATTTCATTTCCAAATGACATATCAAACAAAGTAAATGTGTATCGTGCAAAAAAAATTGCGATATTTCTTCTCGTAATAATTTTCTCACTTACATGCGTAATGGGTTTCAATCGATAAAAACAGTTTTGTCGTGTTGCATACAGATATAACGTGGATAAAAAAACAAAAAAAAAAACAAAAAAAAAAAAAAAAAAACAAAAAAAAAAAAAACATAAATAAATAAAAAAACCAAAAAAATGCCTGTTCAAATTGAACTCTGCGAAAAAGTTTACAATTCGATAAAGACACTCTGCGGAATAATAAAAGAGAGAGAGAGAGAAAGAGAGAGAGAGACAAAGATAGATATAAGATAAAATTGAAAACTAGATCAAGTCAAACTGCTCGTGTGTGTGATGTGCTGTTAATCTAATTTTTTAATAGCTACTTGTTTCTTTTACGTGTGTTTTACTGCTTCTTCCGTTTTTGTTTTTGTTTCTTTTTTTTTTTACTAGCCTTTCCTTAACAAATAGATCATATAGCATATAATACTATATATATATAACTCATAATATAATTTGTAGACGCAAAAACTTTCTCGTGTACATAAATCCCCCTGTGAAACACGGCATAGAATAAATCTGTATGTGACACACTTTGTATCAGTAACGCGGGGGGAAGGGGGGCGGAAGGAGGGGACGTGTACAGGGACCGGACTTATGTACATATACTTATGTATGTATATAGATCGTGTATAAAAATATTTTATAATAAATCAACTATCGTTATTACACGGTAAACAAAATTGGCTACGTAGTTACATCAGGCTCATTCAGATCAGCTCAGCACCAGCTCGGTCCCTGAAACAGAAAAACAAAAACTCAAGCACAGACAACACATCTCTCCCAGTCGGTTGAACGCCAGAAAATTTGCACAGCGAAGCGATACACTGCATAATTTATTTAAAAAAAACAATATTTACGCAGTATTTATTTTGCGTTACATGCACAATATATCAAATACATTTTTAACCAAGATGTCACGAAACAAAGACCTACTCTCGGTGTCTCGAGCAAATTGCGCGGCCGCTTTTTTGCCCATCTCTCCGCGTCGTTTTTCTTTCTTTATGTATTTCTGTTTTCTCCCGCGCGAATTTTCTTTCATCCCGAAGGGAATTTTCTTTATAGAAAATAAGCCAAGCGAGTCGATCTAGCTCTCGCTCTGTTGTTTCGTAGAGAGAGGGTGGGATTCCATCAGGATTTGTATGTGTCTTGCGGACGTGTGTACGTCCGTATACACGTTTCGGACTGCATCTTGACACAATGTGCGCGGAGAGGAGAGGGAGGAAAGGAGACGAAACACGCCTCACGCACGACTGATTCCGCTGAAACATTTTTCTACCGGAGAAATAAAGTTTTACCCTTTCGCGTCTACTTCCCTTCTTATCTATCCCAACGAATGACTTTCTCAGAACAGGAAACGGGAGAGAAAGCCGCGCTCTCTTTGACTGACGCGTGATTACGCAATCCCACATATTTCCAGAAAAATAATGCGCGTAACGATAGATAAAACAAAAAAAGAATATTTCCCCAAGCAACCACGGAAATTCACTGGTCGATGGCGTTGCTCTCATGGCGCTCCTTAAAATCACATTAAGGATGAAACGACGCCGAAAATAAACGAGAGGTCGAAAAGGATGAAAAAAAAAAAAAAAAAGGACAAGAGGGAGCTGCATAAGAATGTCAAGAACGTGCTGTACTGAAATACAATATTTGCTTATTGCTAGAATAACCAAAGTTGAATCTATCGATTTAAAAAAAGTATTTTTTTGTTATTATAATTTTTAATTTCTCCATGATATTTAAACAATTAATAAATACGTTTTCAGCTACAAAAACTTGTAATATTTTGCATTTTTGCAATCTGTCATCTTGACGGATCTGATTGTTCCAGTGTTAAATATTTAATTCGACAATTTTTTAATGTAAAATAGAACTAAAATCTGCAAATGTATCATTGACAAATGTATATGTGTATATATATGTATATGAGGAAAAAAATGGAAAAACAGTGAAGAAAGAAAAAATAAAGATACAGAAAATTAATTGTACTGCGATCAATGAGAATCTCCTGAAAGAGTCTAAGAAGAGAAAGAGAGAGAGAGAGAGAGAGAGAGAGAGAGAGAGAGAGAAAGAGAGAGAGAGAGAAAGAGAAATAGAAAGGATCTTCCCTCGACCCTTATCCCGTCACATCTTCTTCCGTCTGTCTCTCGTCGTAGCTGACTGTGACAAATAATTACCGAGGCTTAACATAAGCCAGAGGCGGTATACTTAGCTAATAGCAAAAAAGAGCGCGGCAATGGCCTCGTCACTCTACGTGCGAGGCGCATTCGCATCGTGACTGGTCCATGCGGAATGGATTTCCGCGATTCCGAGAGACACCCGAACGCCGGCGTTCCGTTTCTCTCTTTCGGCGATGCACGCGCCGCTCAAGAACCTGAGACAGTGTCGAATACGCGCGAGTGTGTGTCGTCGATATAATTTTCTCGGGAAAAATCGCGCGACGCAATTGCGAAGAAGTAAACGAATTATCCGTCTCGAATCGGTGCAAGTTACATCGGTCCCTCTCTTTTCAGATGGCACGACGCTCGGGGCCCGTTTTAAACGACATAATAGGGTACACCGAAGACGTACCTCCCCTTCCTTTCCGCCGGCTTCTCTCGTTCTCGCGATAATCCCGCTTTCGGCCTAACTTATACTTATTATTGCATTACCTCGTGTTCTAGCGTAATTTCCAGCCTCGCAGAGAGCTAGCGGGGGGAAGATGATGAGAGGAGTTCTCTTTCGAGAGAGAGAAAAAAGTCGGGGTAGACGATGCCTTCTCTTCGTGGTTTCTTTATTACATAATTTCGAAGCATAATCCACGCCTGCGGGGTTGCGCGCGCGCGCGCGCACACAGTTGAGAGCGCGCATTGGTGACAGGTGCATCGTCCTTTTCTTCTTGCTCCTCGCTAACGCAAGCCACGGACACGTTAATGTCTTCATTACGACTTCATTCATCAAACCAGCGCGCCGCCGTTTTTCCCTCAATATCCGTTTTCATGCCGGCAATTCCGCGTATCTTTCCCCGCATCGCGCGGAGCACCGGCTCCCGTCGCGAAAAAGACTTTTAACGCGACGACCGCTTTAGAGACTCTACACGACGTAACTCGAAATATTCGAAACGTTAACTGTAGACACTTGTAAAACAAAGAGACGAGCGTCGAAAGATTCTGTTCGCGTTTTCTTTGGTTTTGTTTCCTTTTTTGTCCCGTATTTCGGAACACAAGGTAGCTGCTGAAGTGAAGATGACGATGTTTTTTTTTCGAATTTACAGAAGAAACAAACCAAAAAAAAAAAAAAAAAAAAAGAGAACGCGACGATAATATATGCCGCTAATTTGGTGCACGAGTGTCCCCTCCCCCCGTTCGACACTTCGCGCGCGCACTCACCCCCTCATCCGTGAGTGAGAAGTGGTGGAAGGGGTGGCGGCGCTCTCTCATGAATGTGGAGTTTCGTGAGCTCCTTAATGAACCTAGTTCGCGAAAACCATTAATAACGGAAAGGACGACTCGAGGAGCGAGGAGTTCTCTCGAACGGGAAAAGAGAAGCCGATATTCTCGGGCGAGGGCCCCCGAAACCGCAGATCTTCCGTGAGAAACTCCTTGGGAACGTCGGCTGTTTTACGCTTCCATTATTATTATTATTATTATTTTTTTTTTAAAGAGCACCGACTGCACCGTCTTGTCGGAAACGTAAGCGGAAAAATCATGAAGCTGAAAAAAACCGAAAAGAGAGAGGGATTAACGCGTTCCGCAAAAATAGGTCAGATCATCGCGACGATCCGCTCGCAAAAGATAGAAAGAACGTTATAACGAAAGGCACTTTCTTTACTCGCAAGAGAAAACGAAGAAAGTACCGGAAACAAGGGAGGAGATAGTTCTCAGTTTCAGGAAAGGGCGTCGGCTAACCCTAATGCGACGTATCAATATACGTGGATGGCGGTGATGGGCCAATATCGCATAAGTGGCTCGATTCGCAGTCATTTGTTACATTTTGTTCGGTCTAAGTAATTTAAGAGTCACCACCGCTCGCCCTCCTCCGTCGTCCTTTTCGTCGCCTCGTCGGGGAGAAAAGACCGAGTGACGAAGGGAGATCCTTCGCGGGAGAAGCGAAAGCTAAGAGAAAGAGAGAATAAGAAAGGGGAAAGGGTAAAGGGTGGGTTTAGATCCCCGCGTGGAAGTTACCGCGCGCGCGGAGGGAACGAGGGAGAGAGGATGGTGCACTTCGCCTTCCATTCTTCGGCAAATCGCGGCATATTTGTCAGATTTTTGTTCGCGAACAAAACCTTCGCCGAGAGAGAGAGAGAGACTCACCCCTTGGCAGCGAGTAAAAAGGGTGGACGAGAGAAGGAGGAGGAGGAGGAGGAGAAGAGATGCGGCGCCTTAAGTGGATTGGTTTCGCTCGTGTGTATGGTGTGTGTATCTACGACGAATGCCTTAATTTCAGCCTTTTGCTCGGGGATTCGCCGCTCCTTCGATCTCTCTCCGGCGGCGAGAGAAATCTCCGCTCGTTCGCGAAATTACAGCGGCGTTGATGACGCGCGTCGTCCGCGAATCGTTAACGTAACGATCATCCCGTCCGCGGATTCGCGCGCTCGCAGTTCCGCACGTAACGAGCGCGCAGCAATCACGATCGCGAGAGACTTAAAATCCGATTTTACGCGTACACGCGCGTGCGGCACAACGGTGTGCATTTTTATTAATCTCATGACGAAAATTACGGAACGAAAAGTTTTTTGTCACTCACCCTTGAAGCCCTTCTCCGGCGACGTGGACTCGAAATTCTGAAAATCGGACTCGACATCGATTTCGTTCTCTATCGGCGCGTCGATCTGAAACAAAAAACAAACAAATTCGAAACACATTAGCAACAATAAAATAATTAGTGATAATTTTTAATTAAGAACGGCCGGCACACAATAACGATCTGTATTGTTTTATTCGGAATTGGGGGGATTTGGAGGAGGCGCGAGAGATGATCCACATTAAATTCGAGCAGCACGTCAGAGAGACACGTGTGAACAGCTGCCAACGGCTATAACAGCATCTTCCCACGCGTCTTCTCGAACCACACATGTGATCCACCAATCTACGCGCCCTTCCACGTAATTACGCGACTGTGCACAAACGCACTTAATGACTGCAGTCGCAAGCGCGTGGTGAATAATAAAAAAAAAAAAACCTTGATCGGTAAATAAATCTGTAATTATATTCTCTATAAGATAAAAAGTAGGTCAGCTCTGCTCCTGATAAATTACTTTAACTAGATGTCACATGCCCCACGAGACCGATCCCTAACACATCGACGACAAAAAAACCACAAGATTTTTTTCTAGAAAAAAAAAAAAGATATTCGTCAAGATACAATCGAAACGTAATTTCTAATTGGTCGCAGAGAGAGAGAGAGAGAGAGGGAGAGGGAGAGAGAAAGTCGACATGAGAATTCGAGACGTAAGTAAGCGCGTGTAGGTGTGATTATGTCTCTCTTCTTGAAATCCCCTTTTTCCCATAGAACTAAATATAGCGAGTGTCGTCCGATGTAGCTTGAACACACGTGGCGACACAGCCATTCACATCTGGTCGGTGTTTCCTGCTGGACGGCCGCAGCCCGTCTTATGCACAATGTGATTTATTTTCAAGTATAGGCTCCCAGAGATTCGCCACGCGATGAGAAATCATATCGCGCGCGGCCGAAGCGGATAGTCAAAGGCGACGCGAGCACAGTAACGTGATAGGAAAATAAAGCAACGCGCGATAGACAGAATCGTAGCGTGAAATTACGGCGTGTACTATATATACACAGTAAAAAATAATAGACCTCTCGCTTGTGCACATAAACCATATCACGAGCATTTTCCGACGGAACATGGAACGTGAACGCCATCACCAGCTGTGTGCGAGCTTTCGAGCTGAATCTTAAGTACGTAAAAAAAATTCAAATTATCCAATTGCGACAGTTTGAAAATATTAAATTATATAAAAATCACCGCCAAATCGAGCGACCAAACCCGACCGATAATTTTCTTCTCAAATTAACGCTTCGATGGACATTACAAAACCACTGGTTTTAACGTCATCAGTGACGTCGGTTCGCGGTCGCTGGCATCGTCGGCGCGCAGTTTCACGATACGGATTCCCCGAAGTTCCTTTCATCGCCAAACATTTATTCCCGGACCTCCTGTCCTTCTCGTCTCTCTTTCTCTCTCTCTCTCTTTCTCGCCGATCACGGCGAGAGCGCGTAAAGAGAGAAGACGAAGGAAGGGAAACCAGGTAAAGAGCGTTCCTCTCTCTACACGGGTATAAGGCGAGTTTTGAAATGCTCGGCAATATAGTGAGTTCGTTATGAGGCTCGCCCGGACGTGGTATGGCTCATAATTGTAGACTCGGGGTTCGAACCGCGCACCTCCGGGCACCGCGTTCTCTTCGACTGACACCTATTGTCCGCCAGGAAGCGCCGCGAGTCCGTTCGAAAACCGTCTCGATCGCGTACCGATTGGCAAAACAAAAAATCGTCCAATAGTCGCGCGAGTCCGATTTTCGCGAGCGGCTGCGACACGGATCGGGCGCGCGCGGTCACTCGCCGGCCGCGAATCGCGCGGAAAACGAGCGAGACGAAACGGCGGACAAAACATTTCACGGCCGGGCATGAAAATTATTAGCCCGAGAATGTCTTAATCCCCGGCCGAGCGAGAGAGCGAGGAGAGTCTCGCGGAGTCTTCGGCTTAACATAAACTTTTTTCCCGCCCGAGACTCGGGAGAGAAACGACGCCACGGACGCGAGCTGACGGTCTTTTCGCGAAGACGCGAAGGCGGTCTAAGTGCCGGAACGCGGCCGCACTTGGCCGCATAATGTATGTGCAACGTCGAACGGCACCCCGTTTATTTCCAGGCTAATGCACGGTTTAAGGTACGGCGGCCGCAATGCGCGCGGCTTTTTCCTGACCGCCGCCGTATCGAGGCGCGCACGCTTTATGTTTCTATCGTCACTTTGAAGAGCGAAATATCTGCGCGATTTTTCGCCGCGAAACGACCGGAGAAAAACAGAATCTACGAAATACCAAAAATCGTCGATACATAGAAAGAAAAAAACGTGTACGTCACAAAATATTTTACAATTATATTAAAATAAATTTTCAACCAAGAGACATATTTCAAATATCTCTTCATAAATCATTCATTAATACTGAGCAGACGTACCAGACGCAATTATTCACAAAATTTGCGTTTTAAGTCGTTAAATTCAACTCATAAAAATACAATATTAATTTTTTTCTTTTTTTTTTTTTAGCGCGTGTCATCACTGCGCAACGTAATCCTACAATATACGCAACTTCGCGAGAGATACGCATATTAAGACGCCTACGTAGACGCGCGCGTCTCGCGCATTTTTAATCGAGTACTCGCTCGCACCGCGAATGAGAGGGCGAGCACATCTCTCTTTTGGAGATTTACTCGGAGAGACATCATTACGGCCGGAGTCTTAAGTTATTCTCAGGCTGTCCCGAGTTATTTATCTGTCTGCACACACAAGGAGGGTGGAATCTTACATCCTCCGCCTCGACCACGTCTTAATAGTACGAGCCGCAGAGTTAATAAACCGACACGACGGCAATTCTCTCGGAGCATCACGTTCTCTCTGACCGACGGATTAATTCAAATCTCGTGTTTGTTTCTTGCGAACGAAGAAAATTGCAGAAAAACGTGTTTTTTTTTTTCAAACGTCGAGTAATTTCGAATCGAAATTTGAAACGTACGTCCGAGCGATTGAGATACAATTCTGTTTTACATTTCGTTTCGATCTCTGTTTTTTTCGCGAGAAATTCAGACGGGGGTCGAAAACTGCGAGAAGACTCGATACGCGAGCTAGGCAGCAGAGCGGCGCGAGGACCGCAGAGTGTATAAATTCAAAGTAGATTAATATTGTCTCCGCGTGGCTGTCGCGGCGCCAAACTTATGGCGCTAATTCGGCGGAGGAATTATTACCGGGGGCTGTTGTGTGCGAGTCATCCCCGCTGGCACTCGCCAGTGTTTTGCGAAAAGGGGGGTAGTATCCTTGTCTTTAATAGAAGCCGTGCGTACGTGCTTCACGGGATTCCGAGAGAACGCGCAACGCGCGTCCATTAAATATATCCGCGCCGCGAAATATTCTCCTCTCGCCGAGAATCGTCCCGGTTTAACAAACAAACACATTTCCGCTCCGCGGAAATTCGACACGTCGGTTCGGATATTTGATGCGCGATTACAAAAACGCGGAGGAGAGAGGAAAAAAAGAGAGCGTCATCGATGAAGACACGGCTTTCTCGGGGTCTTTAAGCAAATTGAGGGTACTTCGTATTGTCTTTCGTCCCGCAGAAAGCCCGAAAAAAAGAAGACGACAGTCTACAGCTGTTTAGCATCCCCGATGAAAAACTCGTTGGTAATTATTCAAATTATTTTCAAGGGCCGCGCTTCTCGGCAGACAGAAGCCACTGCGCGTCGTTCGCATCGTTTCTCTCTTCCTCTACACTGGCTAGAAAAAAAAAAACAATGTTTCCGCCGATATTTATAAATTTTAAATAATTATACAAAAAACACTTGAATCGTCTCATAAATTACATTCGACAGCAATATAATTTTTTTTTATGTCTGTGCAAAAAAAACTTTAATAAATATTAAAATTAATATAATCATATTCAGTTTTTCTTTCACGCGCGTTGCGTGAAACATCCGCGATCTTTGTGAAACAACGCGCAAATGCGACTCTGGAATATCTATCATCGCCGCGCGATAGCGCGAACGTGACATCGACACAAACGCGAGGAACATAAAAGGAAGAGAAGGAAAGCGAAGGCGAGACTATGGACGATAGAAAAGGAAGTGAAGATTAGGCGGGGAGAGAAGGCGCTTTTTAGACGGTCACTGACATCGCGCGGAGGTGTTGTGTGTGAGAGAAGTGACTGATGAGTTTTCCGCTCGATTGGATAACGGGCTGGCCCGACACACTCGCCCGTTTCTGGATTTTTTCCAACCCCTTCCCTCCTCGCGCGCGCGCGATGACGTTTGACCTAAATTCCAACTAGATCTGACACAACTATAAATGCGCTCCGTCTCTCATCGATGTGGAGAATATTTTCGCTGAACGTGAAAGATTCTAACGATGTAATGCGCCACCACGTTCGCGTAATGTAATTAACTTTTTTAATTCCAGAATTTTTTCTCGATTTATTGAAAAATTGAATTCAAACGCGTACAAATTCTCCGTTGAATTTGCGATTTAGAGGTGAAGCGCAACGGTGTGAAAAAGGAAAAGAAATTTGCAGTTCTCGATAACTTGGTTTTGGGCACGGCGTGTAATGCGAATGCCTAGAGCGCAGAAACACACGGGAGGAGATATGCCGTTCGAACCGTCGTCGCGGCACTTTAGGGCCACATCGTCCATAAAGAACGGACCATGCTTCCGCCGGGGACAAAGGCCGCCTTCATCTCGGGGGCACGGCGTTCGTTGCGCGTTCCCCGTCGCGACGACGATATAGACGAAATTGAGCAACGCGCGAGAGACCTCGAACGAAATGTCAAACACGCGCGTCGAGAGGAAAAAAAATCCTCGCATGTACGAGACGAATAAAATCTCAAAGTCCGCGTTTTATTTCGAAAAATTATTGCGAATGACATCATCAGGAGCAGTTGAAACGCGGAGACTTCCAGTCATAATTCTCGTAATTCATACAATTTCATTCGGATAACAAAAAAAACAAAAAAAAATTTATTAACGTGATCTGCAAAAAAAACTAATTTTTTACTCTCGTGCATTAACCTCTCAAAAGGTCTGAATTTTTTCACAAGATTACGGAAA